TGGGCCGTTAAATTCCCAGCAAACCCCCTGTCTTACTGGCGAACGCTTAACACCTTTGTCCTGGAGTACCATGGGCCTGGCAGCTTGCAAGCCATGCAAGGTTGTAGCCTGCAACCAAATGTCAGCATCTATTTGGTCCCACGGCGAAGGATGCAATTGTCGCAGACGACGGAATTGTGAATCATAAAAGTTAAAATTTTGGGTACCATACGTCTGGGCCAACTCGATCATTAGCGCTGAGTAGGGCAGAGGCAGCCTGGGGTTCTTTTTTTATGGCAATATCCATAAAGATTGCAAATGCCCTCTGCCACTGGGCGAAAGTCAAAGCTTTGGATTTTTGGGCCGAGGAAATCTTTAACACGGGTTCGTCCTCACCCTCCACAATATTCAGCGCTAACTGAGTTGACACAGACTCAGGTAGTAATACTGAAAATTCAATAAAAATATTGGCCCATATATCAGCTTTTATCTTGTCTGATACATGACCGCGGCAATACCTGGCAACTGCGGTTGTGTATCATCTGAATTCGTTAAAAACATGTCAGCTGCATTCACTGCAAATATAGAAGGTGTTGGTGCTGGAGCATCCTGGGGCACTGGCAACGGTGCAGACGATGTTGACGCTGTAGTAACTGGGGCATCTGGTGGTGTGGATGGCCCTACAGAAAGCGTTGTTGGGGGTTGGGGTACTACCAAGCCCCTGTCTAGCATCTTTTGTAAGATAATGTCAGACAATCTGTCCTCAGCCGAAGTCATACAAGTTATTTTCTGTGACGTTGAGGCACTATCAGCCATACCATCTGTTGCTGTGTTGTCTTCCTCCTCACTGGTGGGGACATCAACAGGCCTTCTTCTCTTAGACATGATGTAACTGAAAAAAAAAATGAATGACATAGCAAAATGACCAAGCAGGTTAAAATAACAAGTGACCAAGCAGGTCTAAATTAACAAGTGACCAAGCAGGTCTAATGAATAAGTGACCAAGCAGGTCAAAACTAACAAATGACCAAGCAGGTCTAAAAATAACTAGTGACCAAGCAGGTCGGATTACAAGTGACCCTGTGGGTGCAACTAGAGACCAAGCAGGTCTAATTTAACAATACAAGTGACCAATGCAAGTTGGTTTGGTTTAACATGTGACCCAGGAGGTCTTGACTAACCAATGACCATGCCGGTCAGAAAAACAAGCCCAACACAGATCTAGTAGCATTACCCAACCTATAAAGTACCACTATTCCCACTGGGGTAGTAGCAAGTAAGCATGAGTAAAATAACATACCCTTTGGTGGAACCAGTGAACATGACGTAGCACAGCATCTCTCAGATTTTTAAAAAATAGAAATTGCCTCTGTGATCTGACAAATGAATACCATCGTCACCATAGATATACACCACTGGATTCCACAGCCCTGATCGATGTCTCCAAAAATCAATGTTGGGGAAATTGACACACCGAGCACTAAGTATAAAATTCGTCTCTCGAATTTTACTATTAAAGTTATCACACGGCTCTACATATCTGGGCAACAATTGGCTAATTACCACAAATTGCGGGTGAAAATCTTCTAATAAATGCTGGGCATAATCTAAAATATCCGAGGCTTCCATTGCAGGGGTCCTCAAGCCATTCGATAAATCATTAGATCCAACATGAATTATAATGATATCAGCGTTTACAAAACAATATAAATTATTCCCCAGCCGATAGAACGGATCCTGACTCACCAGTAACCCACCATTCCCCCAACATACAACCTGGCATTTCCGAGCATTTAAACCTAAGTTCTTGTAGCTTTCATTACGATCCATGAACTGCCTCAAACGCTTGACATACAAAGATCCAAAAAGCACTACCTTAAGGGGTCTTAACGTCACCCCTTCCACCTCCGCTTTTTCCATAATTTTTTACGATGATGCCAAAGGGAATGGCAACGCCATTTTGAATCACGCTATGCAAAGACAAAGGAAATAGTGCAATGAACTACAATGAACTGCAATAATCCGGGACTAAAGCATAGACCTGCAATAATTACTTAGAAAAAACAGTGATAGTACGTACAATTAAAATTCCAACAGAAGCACTTGCAATAAACAATTCCAAAAACAATTCCAAAAATATTCTATGCACAATCTATCACAGACACCTATCCAAGCAGGATAGAAAATGTGCACTAGTTCCAGTGGCGGGAAACCGATCGACGCGACACCAGAAATAGTACGGGCTAGTTGCCCGTATGTAACAAAAACAGACAGACGGGCATAGTACAAAATTTATTATCACGATAATATCTTTTTTAATCAGAAAATCAATGATTCCTTTGGAAAATCAAAGTGTGGGTATACATAATTCGTGAAACAGGGATAATTCTAACAGTACCACCGGTTGTGTGGAAAAGTGAGCGAGAAGACACATGATGTAAAAACGCTATATTATTACGGCGTTTGCAATCTTCGTGAAATGAACACTTGGGAGTTTATAACAGTATTTAGTGCTGTTTATATATCATTAAACAATACAAGGAAGACATATTTTCACAAAATACATAGAGAAAAAAAATTGCGGTATCTTCGGTAAGGAATGTTGTCATTCGACAATACTCATTTATTTTAGAAAAGTTATTTTTAGTACCGGAAGCTATTACCAGTAGAACTATCGTGTGCTTAGTAAGTTATTCTGACTAAACTTAGTCAATTCGGCTATTATTATTGCACGGACTTGAACTAAAATGCTTTAAATAATCACAAAGTATTGTTCAATTTCAAAGAATTTCTGTCAGAGAAAATCGGCCTGTCCGCGGGCGGACGGAATGCGAAATCTCAGCTGTCCAACAAAAAAATTAACCAGTCCCGGCGTCAGGCAATGGGAATTGTGCACCGCTGTTTACTAGTATGAGACTATTATTATTAGTGTTACACTAACAATAGTACTAGTTATATTAAAGTACCGTTCTGTTGGTGTCTGTAGCATTAAAATAGAAAAATAGGAATTTGAAGATCGTTATATATTTGCCTCTGCCTAAAGAAGGGTGCATCTTAAACACATATTTCACTAGAGCAAGCCTTACAACCTAACCCTGTATCTTATACATCGAAATATACTCTTCAACAAAAGTAGGGGATATTCAGAAACAATACAAAATTGCGGAAATGCACTGCTGTTTTTATCAGAGGTAACCAGTGTATGTTAATAACAGGCCAATTGCCTACACATGAACATAAACAGTTCATATGGGCGGCTTATCTGACGGCTCCATTTCACTTGCAAAGAGATACACTGTCAAAAGTGAAAATGGACGTTTTTGATTTTTGTCTTAATAATAAGTAATTGCTCCACCAATCCTCAGACATTCAGCAATTCGTCGTGGCATGCTCTTAATCAACTGTCCAGTCATGATTTGGGGCAATCTGACCCACTCCTCTTGCAGTGTCACGACCAATTCTTGCAGTGTTGTCCATTGATGTTGACATCAACGAACACCTCTCCCGATCAAATTAAACATAACACACTAAAGCAAAGATATGCTAAACAGTAAATCTTATGCAAGAACCGATAGGAAAGCAAATATGGATAGTATAAACCAGCAAGCGGCAGTTTTCATCAACCCTTCCTTGACGTGTCAAATTGGACAATGAACCCCTCCCACGTGTATGCCGCTATTGCGTGTCGCACATGCAGCTCAATGATTCTGTTGGGGCGATAAGTTCTTCATCTGGAAACATACTCTCAAAGCATGTCAAGTGTCCATGACTATTTATCATATCAAAACCTGCATATCAATATCCCCTACTTTTTTTGAAGATTATATATGATACGCAAAATGCATGTTCACTATACTTCCGGAATGCACAAATAGGAAATGTTCTGATATGTTTTTATACGCCCACATTTTCATGTGGACGTATTATGCCGTCGCCCCTGTCCGTCCGGACGTCCGTCCGTCCACAATTGTTTGTGGACTCTCTACAGGTCACAATTCTTATCCGATTTTGACGAAACTTGAAATATAGGTTTATCCCCAAAAGATGTCGGCTGCTTTCGATATTGGCATGTATCCGATCGAAACTTCATGGATTATGGCCCTTGATTGTACGAAAAATCACGTTTTTAGCTTGTGGACCTTGAAACTTGAAATGTAAGTTTATAACCTAAAGATCTCGGTTCCTTTCGATATTCGCGCATATCGGACTGTAACTTTCTGAATTATGGCCCCTGATTGTACGAAAAATCGCGATTTTAACTTGTGGACCATATAGAGGTCATAATTTTTATCCGATTTAAAAAACCGTATTATTATATCACCGTTACACCCTAAGGATGGTTGGGTTTGAATTTTGTGAAAATCGGCCTAAAATTGACAGACAAAATGGCCGCCGTTCGTCTCAAATAGCGTAAAAATATGGTATATCAAGGTTGTGGACCCTATAGAGGTCACAATTTTTATCAGATTTATTTGAAACTTGAAATATAAGTTTATAACCTAAAGATCTCGGTTCCTTTCGATGTTCGTGCATATCGGACCGTAACTTTCTGAATTATGGCCCCTGATTGTACAAAAAATCACGTTTTTAGCCTGTGGACCCTATAGAGGTCATAATTTTTATCCGATTTAAAAAAACGTATTATTATATCACCGTTACACCCTAAGGATGACTGAGTTCGAATTTCGTGAAAATCGGCCCAAAACTGACAGATAAAATGGCTGCCCTTCGTTCTCAAATAGGGTATATCAAAGTTGTGGACCCTATAGAAGTCACAATTTTTATCCGATTTTGTTGAAACTTGAAATGTAAGTTTATAACACAAAGATCTCGGTTCCTTTCGATATTTGCGCATATCAAATTGTAATTTCCTGAATTATGGCCCTTGATTGTAGGAAAAATCACTTTCTTCTTAGCTTGTTCTCTATCCATCTCTCGAAAATGTGGGCGTATCCTGCCTGGCAGCCGCTGGTTCTCAATACTTTTACTGAGTTACTTCATGAGTATAAATTGTTTTTTAGGAAAAGGATCTCAAACAGTATATGGATGATTGTGGTAATATTATGAGTATGACAAATGTTAAGGTATGACTTTGTATTTGTATAGAAAATATTTTTCTATATAATCTGTATTTGATGTTTAGAAGAATTCTTTTTTGGAAAGCATCTGTTTGATAGAAGAAAGCATATTTAGATGTCTGCTGTGAAATTTATTGAGCAAATTTAAAAAAAAAAAAAAAATTCATTTTGTGGTCTTAGGATACACAACAGATGTAATTGGAAGTGTTACTTCCCCTTCATAGCCTGGAGTTCCTTTAAACAATATAAAATAGGTTTCAGCTACTGTTAAAGAATCTTTCCCACAAAAGTATTTATAGGTTAGTTATTTCCAATAAAAGTATGGCAGATTTTGTATATGGAAAGTAAAGACATCAAATCTTACTAGAAAATTACTGAATTCCCTGAATTACACGAATGAGAGGTGCACAGGACAAAATGTAAGGCAATCAATAACTGTTAGTCTGTTTGTTGTTTGCTTGAATGATATCGACAGCGCTTGGTTTTGTTGTTGGCTAGCAGTTGTGGGAGCAGAGAGAGATGTGAGTGTACTGCAGACTTTGCGATTAACTGGTGAAAAAGAAGTTGGCAGAAGATAAGCCAAGGATTTACTTAGGCTTCAGTATTTATGGTAAATGGACAGCAACTTCAATATTTATGGTACATGGACAGCAACTAACAACAAATTGTAAAAGCTGAAAATGGACCCTCCCCTCAATCAGTCACGTGACAGACAAGGCTGCTTAAAAGAGATTTTTACAGCGTGAAATAGATTTCTTCTGATAAAAATGTTTCGACAGGGATTTGAACTTTGAAGCAACTTTTGATAGATAAATTAGTTTGAATATGTTTTTAGTCTTAATATATCATCAAATCACATAGTTTGTACATGGGAAGGCATCTATAAAAGAAATGGACAAATAATTCTTCTAAATTGTGAATATGGTTTTTGCTTCATGAGCCTTAGTTTATGTTTTCAGGGGAGTCATGGTGGCTCAGTGAGTAAGACTGACCAGGATGTCTTGGGTTTGCTCCTGGGTTGGCTGAGAAAAGTTCCTCAAAATTTTCCGGTGTAGTTTCCGCTTGTCAGAATTGCAGGACACAGGGCCTGACAAGGACAATGTCTAGTCGTTCTAATGGCAGGAAAAACCGAGGTCCCTTAAAACGAACCCTTGATAGTTGGAATTCGAAGTAAGAGTAGGCTGTAGTGCCGCTGTCCATGCAAAATTCCCTTGTAGCGCACCGTATGGCACATGTCAGTTGACGAAGAAAAGTGGGACATTAAACCCCATTTCTTTTATGTTTTCAGATATTTTTATACCAGTTATTGAGGGGATTAGCTTATTGTCACAAACGACGTGTACTTCATCGTGATTTGAAACCACAGAATTTATTAATTAACGAGAGAGGTGAACTCAAACTTGCCGACTTTGGTAAGTATACACTAGGAAGTATCAAAGGTGACATTTGTGCAAAGCGGGTATAGATTTTGTGCCAATTTAGTAAATTTATTCAAATATCGGTAAAATTCTAATTATCGCAACAAATCTAAAACCGCGATGCTAAAATCTGTAGATACGCACGTGCGTTAATTAACAGGGGTGAGAAATTGACTGAAAGGTGATTTAATTATCGCTAGGGGTGAATATCTATGTGACGGTGCGTTTTCTGTACTGGGTGTGTTAATTAATGGACGGGTTAAAAATGACTGACACGCTGCGTATTCTTTGTTTGGTGAGTTTTCTCGAAAGCATGTTGTAACTGCAGCAAAGGTGATTTATCAAGGACCAGCAAGCTTTATCTGACGCGTAGGTGTTAAATCTAATTTACCGTGCGATTTCTTGTTCGACCGTGTGTTTTAAGCAGATCAGTCATTGTTAAGTGTTGGTCTTTATACATGGGGTAGTTACGTATATGCGTTCTGATACGTATTTCATATCTTGATGAATACTATGTGTTTTATACTTCGTACCGTAGTTGGACTGCAGTTATTTATATATTCGATTTTTTTGTGGGTTTAATTTGTTTACAAATTATCGTGCATACCACTGAACTATAAATGCACGTATCTTAAAATTGATCGAAGGCAGTATCATTATTTCCAATATATCCGAACCAACCTCAATTTGAATATCCGATATATTCTAATCTCTATTGATATCAGATTAACGAATCTGTTTCGAAAGCAAATTTATAAATATAGAATTGCACAATTAATGAAAACTGCTATATTTACTATGCGTGGATGTTTTAATATATAAATGTATAGTTTTTTGCCTGGGTCATAGATAGGACTACCAAAAAAAAGTAATTTCCTATGGTATATATAACAAATGATAATTCACATATCAAATAACACTAATGAAAATAGGGACATGCGCTAGATTCCACCCAAGATGATATTGCCCATTGCCGAACATTATTCAGATTCGATTGAACTCTGTGTAACTAGCTGGTCTTTGAAAGCAAAATACTGATATATGACCTAATATTTAGACGCTTGTTCATATAGCCGCTTGTTTTCGATTGTATGAAATAGCTTTATTATTTTACTCCAAGGTACTAAGAAACCACAGGTTCTGTAATTGTGAATCCAGCCTTTATTTTACAATTTACGCTTTTCGCACAGAACTGCTATTTTGATGTTGAGAGGCGACACACAGTTAGTTCTGCTCTTCTTTGATGTTAGAGGCGAAGTACAGCTTGTGCTCGAATGGATTAGCTGATAAAGTTGGTTGGAATTTCAATTCAATTTTAATCTTATTGCAATGGATAAATGTATGGTTCACTTTTCGAGCATCTCATTTAAATAAAGCTTGATATTCTAATAAGATATATACATTTCATTTTTTTCTCATAGGAAATTTCGGTTAGTATCTGAAACGAAAAAACTGTCCAAGCCATTATATTATATTTCTAATCCGTGCTTTCGATTTATACATGCAACGGATGCGATGTAAAGTCTGAAATGTGTGGGTTGAATCATTCTTTGATCAGGAATTATTTTATTACATGACTTCGATTTCCATTCACAAAAAGCCACACACTGACATCTCTTTTTCTGGACCGAGAGTTAGATTTCTTTACGTTTGACTAATTTTCCAAGAAGGGTCATTTAAGCTGTTGAAAGAAGGGAACAAACCATACCCTAATGCGAATATATCGGAAAGACAGATTCGTTAATCTGATAACAATGGAGATTAAAATATATCGGATATTCAAATTGAAATTGGTACAGATATTGGGAAATAATGATACTGCCTGCAATCAATTTTAAGATACATGCATTTATAGTTCAGTGGTATGCACGATAATTTGTAAACAAATTAAACCCACAAAAAAGATCAAATATATAAATAACTACAGTCCGACTATGGTACGAAGTATAAAACACATAGTATTCATCAAGAAATGAAATACGTATAAGAACGCATATAGGTAATTACCCCATGTATAAATCCATGTATAAAGACCAACACTTAACAAAGACTGATCTGCGTAAAACGCACAGTCGAACAAGAAATCGCACGGTAAATTAGATTTAACACCTATGAGTCAGATAAAGCCTGCTGGTCCTTGATAAATCACCTTTGCTGCAGTTATAACACGCTTTCAAGAAAACTCACCAAACAAAGAATCGTTTTTAACCCGTCCGTTAATTAACACACCCAGTACAGAACACGCACTGTCACATAGATATTCACCCCCTAGCAATAACTAAATTACCTTTCAGTCAATTTCACACCCCGTTAATTAACACACCATATCTACAGATTTTAGCCTTGCGGTATTAGATTTGTTGCGATAATTAGAATTTTACCGATATTTGCAGAAATTTACTAAATTGGCACGAAATCTATACCCAATTTGCACAAGTGTCACCTTTGATACTTCCCAGTGATAGCTATACTACTTTTATGTAGGCATTTGCTATTGATTCATGGCAAGAAATTATTCATAGCATTCAAATACTTTCAAATATTCGGCAGTATGACCAATAGACCTATAGCAATACCACACATGCTAGATCCTAATTGAGGTAATCAAGAACGAAATTCAAAATCGTGAAGTACTGGAATTCACAATGATGAAGCCTTTCTGATACACATATCAAATGATGTATAGATTTCACTTGAGTAACAGTTAGTAAGGAACCATTTCAGAAGCATCGAAAGTCATTTGTTTCAATTGGTTGTTTGAACACTGATAGATTGACATAATATCAATGATTTGTGACTAAGAAATACATAAATTAAAAATTTTCTTAAATGTATTAAAAATTGAATGGAGACATTGTTTTTCTATGACAGGTTTAGCTCGGGCCAAATCTATACCCACAAAGACATATTCCAATGAAGTTGTCACATTATGGTATGTATAGTTGTCTACAATTTCTTGTGAACACTCTATCAGGAAAGAAGAAACATATCTAAATTCAAAATGTGTTGAAGTGATAATCACAGAATTCTCTCTCTGTTTAAGCTTTGGCTCTTAAAGCTAGACATTCAAAACTTGTGAACATGATACAGAACAGTATTGTTGATGGAATTTATTAACTTAGTTTAATAGCTAGCTGCTGTAAAGGTTTGGCTATTATTTTTGTCCCCCGCCTTTCGAAGAAAGCAGGGGACTATTAAAATGGGTTCGTCCGTCCGTCTGTCCGTCTGTCTGTCCGTCTGTCTGTCCGTCACACTTTTTGGGACACAATAACTCTCTTCCTAATTGAGCTAGAATGTTTAAACTTGGTGTATGTGTTTATTAGGTCAATGCCTTGATGGAGTTCGAAGACGAGCATTTTCCGCTTAGGGTAAGCAGAGATAAGCAATTTGATTGGTTGATGCTTTGGGACACGATAACTCTCTTCCTAATTGGGCTAGAATGTTCAAACTTGGTGTATGTGTTGATTAGGTCAATGCCTTGATGGAGTTCGAAGATGAGCATTTTCCGCTTAGGGTAAGCAGAGATAAGCAATTTGATTGGTTGATGCTTTGGGACACGATAACTTTTAATTGAGCTAGAATGTTCAAACTTGGTGTATGTGTTTATTAGGTCAATGCCTTGATGGAGTTCGAAGATGAGCATTTTCCGCTTAGGGTAAGCAGAGATAAGCAATTTGATTGGTTGATGCTTTGGGACACGATAACTCTCTTCCTAATTGAGCTAGAATGTTCAAACTTGGTGTATGTGTTGATTAGGTCAATGCCTTGATGGAGTTCGAAGATGAGCATTTTCCGCTTAGGGTAAGCAGAGATAAGCAATTTGATTGGTTGATGCTTTGGGACACGATAACTTTAGTTCTAATTAAGTGAGATTGATGAAACTTGGTGTATAGATTTATTATATGAATACCTTAACTAAGTTCGATAATGAACATTTTTTGCTGAGGGTAAGCAGAGTGATAAGCAATTTGATTGGTAGAAACTTTGGAACACAATAACTCTCCTTCTAATTGAGGTAGAATGTTCAAACTTGGCATAGGTGTCTATTAGGTGAATGTTTAAACTTGATGTATATGTAGATGTTCATTAGGTGAATGTCTTGACTGAGTTCAATAATTAACATTTCGAGCTGAAGCTAAGCAGAGCTAATCGATTTCATTTGTCGATGGTTTGTTACAAGATAATCTTGATTCTATCTGATAGAGAGTGATGAAACTTAGTGAAAAAAATAAATGTGCGATTAATTAATATGTGTCATCTATTTATTTTGCAATTTCGGCGGGGGACATCAGCCTCACTGTTGGCTTGTGTAATTTGATATCCACCATAAATTCTGAAATAAAATTTCTAAGTTATTCCTCTTGATCACTTTGAAAAATCATTTGGCTGAACTAGTGTCTTAAATTTGGAACTAATTGACATAAATTTTTTAAGTGTAATTGATTTTAGTGACAGGAATATGTCTAGTATAGAATTAGAACGATTTCTGATAAGTCTTATAACTGTCTATTGAAGTGACCACTAAGCTGATGTGAGAGTGTTGTTTGTTGTAGAATATTGTGTATTGAAGGAACCAGCGAAAAAAAATTTATATCCAAAATCCTTGAAATTTATTTGCTTTGTTAAGATTAGAGAAATGAAGAAGCCAAATGAATTTTAAGAGTTTCTGTTAATTACTTCTTGAGTTATTGCCCTTGCCTTTATTATTGCTCTTGCCCAGATCTACTTTCAATTTATGTTCTGTCATTGGAATATGTTTTGTTGATTGTATATAATATTTGATTGGTTGTGTTGATGATTACAGGTACAGACCACCTGATGTGTTATTAGGATCTACAGAATACTCTACCCCTATAGATATGTGGTAAGATTTTACTTTCTTATTCTACATGTATATTATTTTACCTTAAAGGGGCATTATGTAAGATTTAGATAAAGAGCTGGCCGTCCTCGCTATATTTAAAAAATAGATAATGCAAATTGTATATATTGAAAATTTCATTCAAATTACTTTATTTTGAGTGAAGTTATCAATGGTTGTAGTATTGACAAGATGTGAGCATTGATCGTAACCCCTGTACTAGTGATTCGAGTCTTAGCCTTGCTTCTCCGTTTTTATACGCCCACATTGACGCTCTAGAGGTTAAAGTTAATATCCGATTGACTTTAAATTTATACACAGTGTTTAAGGTCATGAGACGAAGAAGCCTATTGATGATCAGCGATTTCGGATAATTACTGTTAAGAGTTATGGCCCTTGATCACTTCAAAAAATCTTGTGGATGCTCTAGAGGCCAAAGTTAATATTCGATTGACTTTAAATTTATACACAGTGTTTGAGGTCATGAGACGAAGAAGCCTATTGATTTTCAACGATTTCTGATAATTAATGCCAAAGTTATGGCCCTTCATCACTTTGAAAAATATTGTGATGCTCTAGAGGCTAAAGTTATCATCCGATTGACTTCAGATTGAATGATACACAGAGTTTAAAGTCTTGAGACGAACAAGTATATTGATTTTCAAGGATTTTTGATAACTCGAACAGCTAAATCCATGATATTAAATGTTTCATATACTAAACGTTAGCATGGGGGCAGAACTTTATAAATGTTTCATTACCAAAAAAAAGTAACAATATGCGACACTCTTGTTGACTGTCCGGACGATTTAGCTGCCGTTGGCTGGCAACCCATCTTTAAATTAAATCATTAAATTTGTCATACGGCAAAGTCAACGGACCTTGTTCTGACTTTTGCTATTGTTAATCCAATTTAAATACTTCTCGGCATTTCTAACTATATTCTACCTTGTTTATTATTTACTTCAAAACGTAACCACCATTCAAAATATAATCATAAAGGCTAGAAAATGACATTATACTAGATTCGTTACGACATTCAACACGTTTCATATCTCGTAATTTCTCGCAAGAATTCTACTTTGGTTTTTAGTTAAATTAACCAATCATAAAAATTCTACTTACAAGCGAGGAATTATTTCTTTATTGTCCAATCAATAGACGCCTTCCAATTTACTTTATTCTATTCTTAGTAACATTGTGTAATCGTAATATTATCGCCATCTGTCACGTACGAAGGGAACCAGAGTATTGTTTTGTATATTATCATTATATTGAATTAAAAAATGTTTCAAATGAACCAAGTTAACCAGGTAAATAAATAACTACGGCCTTAGATAGTTTAAATTTTCTTCAAAGAAATGTACATGTCTGAAAAAATTCCTGAAATTTTTGCGCGTGTAATGCCTTTTACTTAGGCGAGTATAGCGTGCGCACGAGTAATGACTCGCACCTCCTGACAAGCTCTGTTTTATGTTTAAAATTCATACCATACGGTTAACGGTTACTAACCGGTTAATAGCTACAGCTATTCGAATAACAAAAAGTCCTAACCGTAGGAGCACTAGTCATTACTGCGTCGCAGTTCTAGTGATGATTGTTTTTACCAAAAAAAACCAATCATCCAACAAGTTGGCCGTTTCATTTTTCACTTGAGCATATCTCAGAAACTACTTGTCGAATCGATCTTATATCTTTGGTTTTACGGGAAAGTCGGCATGACTTAGAGATTAAATTTATTTTGAACATTCGACGACAATGCGAAATGTCAGAAATCACCAAAGTTGTCGTTTTTTTAAAATATTGCCGTAATATTTACAATAATTGCCGGATTTTAACATTTGGTACATTTTGACATAGTCTGAGACAATAGGGCAAATAGCTACGGTACTTCAGACTTTTGATTTTCGACGAATCCTCGCTTATATTAGGCGCGAAATTTTGAAAATTTAAATTTTTACAAAAAACTTTTTTATTTTTGAATATTTTTTGATGGTATTTTACACAGGATTAAGGGTCATCTGACTATAGCAAAAATGTGAACAATTTTTGTCTCATTAATTTGTGTTAGCCGCCATTGGCTAATTCAGTTTTTCGGTCCTAGATTAATTATTTATTGTTCGATTTGTATAAAACAAAGTTCATATTCTCCGTTTTCCGAAATGTCATTTTTTATGTTACCGTTAAAGTTTCCTGTCGGCACTGGAAGTGACATAATTTTACCAAAAACTACAATTTTGACAGTTCGGTACCACTTTTTGAAAGCAAATATTATTTTTTTCAAATCTGGTATAACTGAAAGGGTGCGCCCTTTAAAGGCGCACAAAATGTCGGGCTTGTTTTTTTTAATTTTGATTTAGTTTTCGGGCTATTTTGATTACGATTAAAAGGTGAAAAAAGGTGTAAAATTAAACTATTTACAACCCATCCAGCATTTTCATATTTTAAAATATTTCTTCGTAACTTTCATAAACTCGTAGCAATAATCTATACGCAGAGAATGTATGTGAAAATTAATTTGTAATATGCGCAGTCTGATTTGTTTTTTGTTTAAAATTTTAATATCTGATTCCATTCAACTAATAGAATGAACCAATACGATCATACAGATATCACAAAATGGTTTCTAACTTGTTTAGTTGCGGAGAAATAGGCTATTTTCAACAGGTCACTTTTCAAGGTTTTTGGTCCATAAAAGTGTCAATTATTGTTCGAGTTTCATAAAAATTTCACTCTGTGATACCTAATGCCATTTACGATTTCATACAAATAATTTAACATTTTCATTATCACCGGAAGTAACGTGATATTGGCAAAAACTGTATTTTTAGCCTCTAAAACAAATACTCATTTGATGTAAGCGATATTCATTGTGATATTTGATTCCTATTGGCAAATAGTATAAAGCAATAGATCATATTGATATCATAAAATTGTTTCTAACATCTTCCTTTGCCGAGAAATAACCAATTTTGTCAGGATCACTATTTATTCGCCCACATGGAAATGTGGTCGTATATTGCCGTCGCCCCCGTCCGTCCGTCCATCCATCGTCCACAATCTCTTGTGAACACTCTACAGACTACATTTATCATCTGATTTTTTTGGAATTGATATATGTTGTTTGCATTAGTGAGATAAAGAAGCCTATTTAATTTCAATAACTTCCGTTAATTTCTTCTGGAGTTATGGCCCTTGTTTCACTTTGTTGCACCTTGCGAACGCTCTAACGACAAAAGTTATTATCCGATCTGTATGAAATTTATATGCATCATTTAAATTAATAAAACAAAGAAGCCTATTGAATTTAGAGTTATGGCCCTTGTTTCACTTTGTTGAATCTTGTGAACGCTCTAATGACAACAAGTACCTTCCGATCTGTTTGAAATTGATATGCATCATTTAAATTAGTGAAAGGAAGAAGCCTATTGAATTCCAGCAATTTCCATTAATTACGCCGTGAGTTGTGGCCCTTGTTTCACTTTGTTGTACCTAGTGAGTGCTGTAACGGCAAATGTTGTTATCCCATCTGTATGAAATTTATATGCATCATTTAAATTAGTAAAACAAAGAACCCTATTGAATTTCAGCAATTTCCGTTAATTACATCTAGAGTTATGGCCCTTATTGCACTTTGTTGAATCTTGTGAACGCTCTAATGACAACAGTTATTATCCGATGTGTATGAAATTTATATGTAATGTTTAAATTAGTAAAAGGAACAAGCCTATTGAGTTTCAGCAAATTTCTGTTAATTACATCTAGAGTTATGGCCCTTGTTTAACTTTGTTAAATCTTGAGAACGCTTGAACAACAAAAGTTATCACCTAATATGTATGAAATTCATATGCATCATTTGAATTAGTAAAATGAAGACGCCTATTGAATGTCAGCAATTTCCGTCAATTACTTTTAGAGTTATGGCCCTTGTTTTACTTTGTTGAACCTTGTGAACGGTCGAACGACAAAAGTTATCATCCGATCTGTATGAAATTTATATGCATTATTTGAATTAGTAAAACGAAAAAGCCTGTCGAATTTCAACAATTTCTGTAGGTTAATTCCAGAGTTACGGCCCATGTTTTAGTTTTTAGAACCTTGTGAACCCTCAAACGACGAAAATTATAATGTCATCTGTATGAAATTGTCTATTAAATTCCCCTAATCACCTACAAAAGAATAATTATGCGACAACCCTTGTCGACAGCTCGGACGATTTAGCTGCTGTGGGCGTATGTTTTGTTGCCTGGCAACCTATCTTTAAGATTTTTTCGCATTTTAATTTCCATTTATGGGTTCTGGCTTAATTATTAATTGTCTGATTTGTATAAAACAAAAGCCCATATGCTCCGTGATGCAAATTCTCAACTTTCTTCTACCGATAAAAGTTTCTGTCGACACCGGAAGTGCCATAATTTTGCCCAGAACTTTAATTTTGATGTGTCTAAAGTTCTTTTAAAAAGCAAATATTATGTTTACAAAACAGATATTTTATTCAATTGAGTCTGATTTGTAATGTTTTATAAAATTATGATATTTGATTCCTATCAACAAACAGAATGAATCCATGCGATCATACAGATACCACGAAAGGGTTTCTAATTTTTACAGTTGCAGAGAAATGGATGATTTTCAACAAGTCACTTTTCAGGGTTTTTGGTCTATAAAAGTGGCAATTATTATTCAATTTTTATTAAATTTTCACCATGTGATGCCTTATGCCATTTATGATTTCATAGAATTAATTTAACATTTTCATTATCCCCAGAAGTAATGTCATTTTTGCAAAAATTATACTTTTAGCCTCCAAAACAAACATTTGTTTGAAGTGAGTTATATTTATTATTCGTTTAAGATTATGGTATTTGACTCCAATGGACATATAGATTAAATCAATAAGATCATATAGATGTCCAAAAATAGCTTGTCGAGAAATAACCAATTTTGTCAGGATCACTTTTTAAGTTTTTTTTCTCATTTTAATTTCCCATTAGAAAGTCAGC